ACTTTAGGGAGAGGACAGGGCATCTTTTTATTTATTTATTTATTTATTTATTTATTTATTTTTTAACCAGGGATCGAACTCAGGACTTTGCACTTGTGAGGCAGGCAACAACACCACTGAGCTAAATAGCCAGCCCACAGGGCATCTTTATTGTAAGAATAAGAGAACCTTCTGAAGCACTGGAAACATACACCTTGTTAATGTCTACAAATATAAAAATTCAGTAGGTTATGAGATGCTTCTCTAAACAAGTTCTTAAGAAACTGAAATTTTCTCTTTTTTTTTGGTACCGGGGACCAAACTTCAGACCCTGCGCTTGCGAGATAGGTGGAGGAACCACTGAGCTAAATCCCCGGCCAAAGAAACTCAAATTTTCAAATGGATACAAAAGAAATTTATCAAAAGCAAAAATGTTTAAAGCTTTATACAATCTTTATTTTATAATTATCTAGAAATAGCAAAACACACACAGAAATAATACTGAAAAAATGAACACCATGCCAACTACTGATTACTCTGGTCTAAGAAATTATTATCTAGCATCTTCCTGTTTCTAGCAGCTATATTTAATATTAATTAACCTAATCTAATGGAGCCATCCTAGAGGGATATGTTCACAAGTTCTAAGACAAAACAGACCTAGATTGTTCAAAGCCCAAAGGAGAAAACGGCAAGAGAAGCGGCTATCAGTAGGCAAAAGCCAAATTATGGAAGGCCTTATAGGCCTTTTTTAAGGACATGGACAAGAAATGGAAAAACAAAACAAAACAGAAAAAGCAAATGACACCTTAGGGCAGCAAGCAGAATTACTGCCATGGGGTGGAGTTGTACACTAAATATTCTAAGTATTTCTTGTAAAAATTATTGCTCAATAATATGTAGTCTGGAAGTGATCAAGCATTTCCAAGGAAAAATTTCCAAAGCCCCGTTAAATCAATAAAATTTAACTGGACATGGTGGTGCATGCCTGTTGTCTCAGCACTTTAGAGGCTGAGGTAGGAGGATCACAAACAAGTGTGGGCCCAGCCCGGACAACTTAGCAACTTAACAAAACCTTATCTCAAAATTTAAAAAAAAAATTTAAATGCTAAGTATATAGCCTTGAAATCCCCAGTACCACAAATATCATTATAGGTTTCTGCAATATGTCTGGGATACTTTTATAAAGTGTAGCCTATCAAATTCCTTGTTATACCTATTATTTTATTTTTTTATATCTATTATTTTAATTGCTCTACACAGCAACATGAGTTGGGAAAGACCATGGGTGCTGACAAAAAAATTTGGAGGGGGTATGAGACAGGGTCTCACTGGCCTTGAACTCACCATGTAGCCCGGGCTGGTCTCAAACTCATTGTGATCCTTCTGCTTTCACCTTCCATGTGCTGGCATTATGGGTATGCACCACTACACTCAACTGATGGTAGAAATTTGGAAGAAAAAGCTAATTCTTTAAATTGCAGCAGAAATCATTCATATCATACCCATGTCCTATTTACCAACCCTGAAGTATGATTTTTAGAAAAAAGGAATATTTCAACAATTTTAGCTGGTAACCTATTTAAACAAATAAAAACAAGAAATTATTAACAAATGAAAAGTATCTTCTAACCTGTTTCAGACCAAAAGATGAAACATTCATTCCCTCCAAAGATTTTACCTGTTACATTTCTATACAATCTCACACCATTTAACTCTTAATACCTACATGTAAGAATAACATAATCTTAGCTGCTTCTATTAACAGAAATGTTAAAGTTAGGAGGGAAGAACATGAGAATATGTAAAAGCTTTCTAACTCTCCAAAATGGAACTTTTTTAAAATGTTTTGCTCACTCAGATGTACAGTTGGCTCTTGACATAATCAGGCAAAAAGTAGCAAAATGTTAAACTGTTACTGTTCTAACATTCAGGAAGAGGAAAAAAAAAATTAGATCACTATATTTAGTTCAGTGATAAATCCTCTAGATTTCTTCCAAACCATGACATGGTTTTCCAACTATTTGCAAGACCCCCCCAAGTTCTAGGCTTCATTCAGGATGAAATCCTCACAGACATGCCAGGTATGGCACATGCCTGCAATCACAGATACTAGATAGGCTTAGGCAGGTTGGGCAACTTACCCAGACTCTTATCTAAGAAAATGCCCAGGAATGTAGCTCAGTGCTAATCCCCCCACAAGAAGAGGGAAGGGGAGTAATTCACACAAGCTAAATTTCAACAATAAAACTTGTAAATGGTTTATTCATTTTAATGGGTCATATGACTCTACTGCAGAGATGACAATGTGTACTGTTTTTGTTAATGCTATTAATGCAAGCAAAGAAAAAGATGGTATGGATATTTTAAAAGGTTTATACAGACTTTAAAGTACTGTTCAAAGAATTTATGCACGTTCCCTTGCCCTCAAGAAATTTTCAATCTGTCTTAAATACACAAAGTGCAAAGTAATGTGAAACAAAAGTTGTACTATAAAAGATAAATAGCAATACGGTTTCACAAACAATACACAAAACTTGAAGAAAAAGGTTTGAGTCACAGCTATGCACATGTGTGAATTTCAGTTATTCTATATGGATTTCTCTATTGATAAAACAAAAGGGTAGATTTCAATATTACAGCAATAATATTCTATGATACCATGCTACAAGTTCACATAAATTTTAAAACCAAGAGAATGGCAAAAAAAAAAAAAAAAAAAAAAAAAAAAAAAAAAAAAGTAAAAAAAAAAAAAAAAAAAAAAAAAAAAAAAAAAAAAAAAAAAAGGAACAAGGGTTCAAATAAAAGCAACATTACGGAAAGAAATGTTTGAAAAACATCACGTTAAAGGATCAAAAATGAAACAAACAAAAATTAACTTTGTAATATTTTGGGGGGATTGTGGAGGTTTTGAGACAGGGTCTCACTATGCAGTCCAAACTGGTCTCAAACTCAGAGTGATCCTCTTGTTTCAGCCTCCTAACGGCTGGGATCACAGGCACGTGCCATCACACCCAACCATTTTTGTAATTCAGAGGAAAATTTTTTGTTTTAAATATTGTAGTAGGCTGCTGCAGGGCATAGTGGCACACATTTGTAATCCCAGCATTCTGGGAGGCTGAGGCAGAAGGATCACAAATTCAAGCCCAACCTGTGCAATTTTACAACTTAGTGAGACTATCTCAAAATTTAAAGTATGAAAGCCTGTGGGTTTAGTGCAGTATGAAGGCCCTGGTTCAATTTCCAGTACCACCAAAAAAGGAAAAGTAGGCAACCCATGCACAAATTTTCCACAAATATGATAAAGATAGAAATATACAAAGCATAAATGGTTAGGGTGGTCAGGTCCTGTAGAGAAACAGTGCTGGCATTAGACAGACTTTCACTAGGTGGCTATAACTAGCGAACTATGTACGCTCTCTCCGTGAGAGATGTGTTCAAAGCATTAAGATCTAGCAGCAGGGAGGATTGTTTAGTATTGAAAAGCCAGGTCAAAAAAATCCAGTTAAAGCTAGTGAGTGGTTGAAAGAAAAACTAAGATAAACTCATGGTGGCACACGCCTGTAATTCCAGCACTCTGGGAGGCTGAGGCAGGAGGAATACAAATTCAAGTCCAGCTTGGGCAAGGTGGCAATTTAGCAAGATCCTGTTTCAAAATAAAAAAAAATATAGAAAGGTCACTGGGGATGTTTGCTCAGCATCAAAGGCCCCATACATACTACAAATAAATACATAAATAAGGATACAAAAGAACATACATCTGTAAGAAATTTTTTTAAATGGCCAAAATTTACCAGTGTTATGCGGACAAAGATGAAAACAAGGCTGGGTATGGGTAACTAAAAGCACGCTGTTATATAACATCACCAAAACAAAGTCAGCACTGGACTCAGTTTTGAAGGGAAGACTATAAAATCCATAAATTCTATCTCTAATGTAGGTTAGTGAGAATTACCCAGAACTAACTGATGTCTTAATTTACCTTTAAATACTGTATGTGGCCAACAGTTGTCTTCCTAAGATAGCACGGCAAAGTATTTGGGAAGCATATGCTAAATGACCAGCAATTTGAAGAGTTATCAACTAAATCATTTAATTTTCTGGCATACATAGAAAACATCTGGCATGTTTTTCAAATTCAGGTGAATAAATTTATGAAGTTTTTCTGATATGATTATCAGATCTACTTTGAGCTTTGGAAAATCCTCAAAAAAAAAAAAAAGCATGAACTATCACTAACAAAATATTAGATGCATGTTTCAAATTTTATTTACATAGGCCTGAAAGCACTGGGAAAATCTATAAAGATAATACTTAGAAAAATTAAGCAAACGTTTTAAAATTTAACGAGAAGAACGGCTCAAGTAGATTGGTACATACTGCAAATTGTGCTTATAAAAAGCCAATTCCTACCGACCACAATTTTCTCAAACAAGAAAAATCACAGTGGTCAAGATGAAATGAAAGCAGTATTCACCAGTGCATACTGGAGTTACCCAGGTGAGAACATTATTGACAACTACAAAACAAACAGTACTGTACTTCTTGGTTAATTTCCCCATTTATTTTGTGACCTCCCTGAAAACTGAGGCTTTAAGCAGAATGATTTCCAAGTGCTTAACAAATTGTTGTGGCTGGCTTGCCATAAAACTATAAAAGTAATTTAAAAATAAGTATCTCCTGTAACACCCATTTTGTATGGACACTGAACTTTACTGCTCTGCACCCAAGATGGGCTTAAGAAGCTCTCTTAACCTCATTCTTTCCTTAACTCCTAAGGCTTCTTACCTACTGTAACGGGTAGAATTATTTTCAGATGACTTCAGTTTATCAAATCAACATTAACTGAGCGCCTGTTATGGTGCTCGCTCAGTCTCGGGGGGAAAAAAAGCTTCCCCAGCTTCTCAGGGTGAATTTAACATGTATGAAAACAAGAGTACGAAATCTACACATTTTTTTTTCTAGCCAGACATACTACAATTCGCGTCAAAAGCTCAAACCCCAGGCAACTGCTTACAAACCTAAAGCAGATCCACACGACGACCGTAACGCCCAGATTTGCCCACAAGGCGGCTGGGGTCCGAGGGGGAGGGGAAGAAGGCGCGTTCCGAATCCGTCCACCGTCCGCGGGCACCGTTCGCTCAACCGCCCCCGGGTGGAGAAGGGTGAAAGCGCCCTGCCTGCCCTACCATGTCCCTACCTCCCCAGTTTAGGGTTATGCCACAACTGGGAGCGGGGTTTTTTCGGGAAACACACGGAGCGGCAGAGCGCTGCACACCCGACCTCCCAGCCTCGCAG